CGCCGGAGTTCATCGCGCCACCACTACGTCATCGCTATGAACAAAAGATTCGGATTTTTTGCTCGACGATACGATTGCACGGCGAACTGGTTAAATGCGTGGTGTTCCGTATATTATTATGAATGTGTAAAGTAGTGTACGTGTGTTAATATATATGGCACGTATATTAATAAATAATACATATTAGATAAATGATCTGTTAATATTATTATTATTAAATAAATGACATGTAAATAAATAAATAAATAAATAGGTGCCTACATCACTCCCCCCCGAGACCATTCTATGGGCGATAAAAATCCGGAAAATTTACTCGGCGCCCTGAACGTGTAGTACGTGGTATGTCAGTATATACTGGTGAGGGAGTGGTAGTTGAGTGTTGTGAAGAGTGATTGTCAGAGAGTATGTAGGCCGGTTTCAGTCGGTCTATGGATACACTGACTTCTTTACCCTTAAACAGTAGTTTAAACACTTTGTTGTCACGTGACAGTACTTTATGTGGACCGGTGTATGCTAGTTGTAAAGAACCTCGTGAAGCATCTTCGCGAAGAAAAACATAATCACTAGTGCCAAGATCATTAAAAACAAATGTTTTGCCGGTACTATGGCGTGATGTTGGTACAGGCTGAAGATTTTTAGCGATTTTACGCAAACGTGCAGTGAACTCAGTGATGTCCTGTGGGCCATCTGAACTGGGTTCAAAGAATTCACCCGGTAGCCTGAGGGGCTCGCCGTATACTAATTCGGCGGACGATGTCTGTAAGTCCGCTTTAAACGCACTACGGATGCCAAGTAGAACCCACGGTAGGGATTCAGTCCAACTGCTATCAGCGTGGCACATTATCGATGCCTTTAGTTGACGGTGAAAACGCTCAATGATTCCGTTACAAGCTGGATGGTATGCTGTCGTACGCTTGTGCTTAAATCCGGTTATCCTAGACAGAAATTGAAACAATGCCGACTCAAATTGTCGTCCGCGATCTGTGACAATTTCTTCAGGACAACCGTAGCGTGCAATCCATTGAAACAGCAAAGCTTGTGCAACTGATTCCGCCGTTATGTCAACTAAAGGCACAACTTCTGGCCATCTAGTAAATCGGTCGACAGTCAGGCAGTATCGGTAACCCTTGGACGGAGGGAGAGGACCAATAAGGTCGATGTGTATTTGCCTGAATCGCGTACGAGGCAACGCGAAAGTGCCCCAAGGAGAAGACACATGTCGGGTTACCTTTGTACGTTGACAGGCGAGGCAAGATTTAGCCCAGTCTCGGCAATCTTTCCTGATGCCGGGCCAGACGTACCGTTCCGCTACTAGTTGAGCAGTAGCGTTCGCACCTGGGTGGCTCAGGCAGTGCAGGCTGTTGAAAACCTGCCTGCGAAGGGGAGCGGGTACAAATGGCCTGGAAGTCGGCGTACTTATATCACAGTACAATTTGGTACGACTTCCAGGTATATTGAACTGTTCTAGGCGGAGGGATGATGGTCCACTCTTCATAAATTGAGCAAGCTCTATGTCGGAGGCTTGGGATTCAGCTATAGCAGTCAGGTCAACAGGTGCCTCCAGTTCTTCGATGCGGCTTAAAGTGTCGGCCACGACATTGTCTTTGCCGGAGATATGCCTAATATCGGTGGTGAACTGGGCAATGAAATCTAAATGTCTATACTGACGTGGCGAGCAGTTGTCCTTCCTTTTGTGGAATGAGAAACTGATCGGTTTATGGTCAGTATAGATAGTGAAGTGCCTTGCTTCCACCATATGACGAAAATATTTAATAGCTTCGTATATAGCTAAAAGCTCTCGATCATATGGGGAATATCTCTGTTGACTTGGGCTCAACTTACTGGAAAAGAAGGCAAGTGGTTGCCAGACTCCGTCTTTGAGCTGCTGAAGTACGGCACCTATGGCGACGTCAGATGCATCAGTCACGAGTGCCAATTTAGCTTCGCAGTCTGGGTGGGCAAGCAAGGTTGCATTCGCGAGACTACGCTTGCACTCCTCAAAAGCTTTTGCTGCCTCACCGTTTAAACTAATAGGTTGCCTACCTTTAACAGCCCCTGTCAGAAGGTTGTTAAGGGGAGCTTGTTTTTGAGCAGCATTCGGCAAAAAACGCCGATAAAAATTTATGATGCCCAAAAACCTTCTTAGCTGTCGCACCTCCTTAGGTTGAGGGAAATCTAAAATAGTTTGGACCTTATCAGCCAAAGGTTTGATTCCGTTTCCGGAGATACGGGACCCTAAAAATGTTACCTCCTTTTCGCCGAAAGTACACTTGGAAGTGTTGATGAGTATACCGTAGCTTTTAAGTCTGCTAAACACTTGGCGAAGGTGTTCCTCATGCTCCGCTTCGTTTCGTGAGAAGATCAGGAAGTCGTCAAGGTAAGAGTAGCAGAATTCTAATCCTCTGATCATCTCGTCCACGAAGCGTTGAAAAGTTTGTCCTGCGTTACGGAGGCCGTAGCCCATAAAGGGAAACTCATACAACCCGAACGGCGTTGTTATTGCGGTCTTAGGGATGTCGCTCTCACTGACAGGTACTTGGTTATATGCTTTTACAAGGTCGATGGTACTAAACACTTTGCATCCGGTTATGCTATGGGTAAAATCGTGGATGTGCCTGATTGGATACCTGTCAGGAATGGTCCGGGCATTGAGCATCCTATAGTCTCCACACGGACGCCACCCGTTATCCTTCTTAGGGGTGAGGTGAAGAGGTGATGACCACGGGCTTGCGGAGGGGCGGGCTATACCATTGGCGATCATGGAGTCGAATTCTTGTTTGGCAATTTTAAGTTTGTCTGGTGCTAAACGCCTGAGTGAAGAAGTCACCGGTGGACCTGGTGTCGTGCGAATGTGGTGAACAGTGTTGTGAGGTATAGTGTGTTGTGTACCAGCTGGCCGTGTAATCTCAGGGAACTCACCCAAAATTTTATGGTACCGCGTGCAGCCAGTCGAAACCTTTACAGATGTTACATTATCTGAACAAGAAATTAAACATACATTAGTTCTTAAAGTAGTAACATTATCTATTAAGCATTGATTTCTACAGTCTACCATAAGATTATAAAACGATAGGAAATCGACACCAATTATTGCTTTGGTGACATCAGCCACCACAAAACGCCACTTAAAGTTCCGACGCAATCCAAGGTCGAGACTTAGATGTGCGAAGCCATAAGTTTTTATGTAATGAACGAGGATACACACAAAGGTCGCTGCCTGTGTCAATTAAAAATTGTATTTTCGACGAACGGTCCGTGACGAACAGGCGACCAGTTTTACTAGGACAGTCATCAGTCGCCATTAAGGACTGTCTTTGCAGTTTCCCGTCTTGTAGTCACATGGTGCCACGCATTTGTTCGCGCGGTTACCAAATTTCGCGTGGTACCAGCATAGTGGGAATTTCCTATAACGCGACTGCGATCGATATTTCGACCGCCCTCTATGTGGATTACGTGTTCGGGAACGAGCTCTACAGTTTACCTGTGTGGTCAATTTGTGTAGTTGTTTCCGTAGCTCGGCGACTTCATGGGTAAGAGCGTCGAAGCTGGAACCAGGTGTTGCGGTAGCTGTTGAGGCGGCTGCAGCTACCTGTGGTGACGCTGGAACGATATCCTGAATGCGGTCTGCCAAGTCCGCCAGCACCTCCAGCGACGCGCTAGGTTGAGCCGCTAAAACTGTTTGGATGTTCCTTGGAAGTCTGCTTGTCCAAATAGTTTGCAGGAAGTCATCAGGAACTTGAGGTCCAGCAAGGCTCTGGAGATGTCGCAGGAACTGCGAAGGCTTCCTGTCGCCTAACTCCTCATGCATCAGAAGCTGTTTTACCTTCTTTTCATGTGAGGTGCTCAACCGTTTTATTAATTCAGTCTTCAATTTTAAGTATTTGTCATTGAGAGGAGGGTTAATAATTATATCTTTTATCTCTTTTGAAAATTGATGGTCTAATTGGCCGATGACATAACTGAATTTCGTCGGTCGTTCGTGATTCCAGAAATTGCAAATTGTCCCTCGACTTGCGCGAACCATATTTCGGGTTCTTCGGGCCAAAACGGAGGAACCCTAACGCCTACTTTAAAAATTTCCGTTGAAATGTCGGCCGCTTTGGTTGTACGGGTATCGCCACTGCCTACCCGTCCATTTGCATTTTTATTATTGCTGCCACTGCTTGCATCTTCAAAATAATCACCGCGGTCCATAGTGTTCAGTGCAGGGGTCACCAATGTAGGTCATAAAGGTGTGTAGAAATAAAGTTGCTCACCAAAGTTTATAAGGAATATATTCACTAACACACATGACGCTAACAAAGTTTAAGGCTCACAGTACAGAAGGAAGGAACGTTGAAGAATGAAGATGAATACAATTATGAAAGTCCGAGCAGATAGGAAAAACAATAAACATAAAATAAGCAGCGCGTAAGTAGCAACAGTTATGATATAAGGCGTAAAGCATTGAGCGACATGCGCTTCGCGTCGAGAGTAGGTTCCGACTGCCGGGCGCGTCGTTGATCGCGGTCACTGCGCCGGAGTTCATCGCGCCACCACTACGTCATCGCTATGAACAAAAGATTCGGATTTTTTGCTCGACGATACGATTGCACGGCGAACTGGTTAAATGCTTGGTGTTCCGTATATTATTATGAATGTGTAAAGTAGTATACGTGTGTTAATATATATGGCACGTATATTAATAAATAATATATATTAGATAAATGATCTGTTAATATTATTATTATTAAATAAATGACATGTAAATAAATAAATAAATAAATAAATAGGTAGTCAAATTTCGGAAACGTCGAAAGGAGTTTTTAAAAACTAAAATACAATTAGATTACTATGTCCGACCGATTTGGAGGTGGCTTTAATAATGAATGATATTCAAAGAGTCCGTTTGTGCGCAAACATGCGACTCATCAACTAAGTACTAGGAACTTACATACAAATGCTGATACATTAGTTTTACTGCTTAGTCTAAATAATACAATATTATATATTTTAATATTTTAGTCTAAAACAGAGGGACGGGGTGTATCCATAACTCCTCCCTCCCTAAGAGCAAAATTATCGGTAATATCATTTTTGATGCCTTTACGATAATTTTGGATGTAAGGTATACATTTTTTTCTTAACACGTATATAAAGAACAATAAGAAACTTAAAGCTAGGAAATTTAAAATTACATATGTTAGAACACTGAAGTTAGAGTCTTTTTCTCCGTTGAGAGCACTTAAATCTGTGTAATATATTTCACTGTGTTTTAAAGCATTTGACATATATTTCACTTCATCCAAGTTGACACCATTCATGTTAATTACGCGTGTACTTGTTACATTAATATTTGCACGTAAATGAGGTAAGTTGATGACTGAAACTGGTGGCGCCGCTTCGTATTCCGTGTAAACACGGTGGTGATGGATATAAGTACCGTGTATCTCCAGGTCACAGGGCTCATCGCTGGTTAGTATATAGGTTCCAAAAATTGGTTGTTTGGTGATCTCGTTACCGCAGTGCTTTGTCAGCGTCGTTTTTAACTTTGTAAAAACAATCCAATTTTCAGCTTTAATTCGCTGCACCTTAACGTCTTCAATTGTAATAGCATGTTGCGTGCAACAAGTAAGATTATTCTCAAATTTCATTAGCTGTTCTATGCAGGTAAGTCCAGGGTAGAGCGCTCTATTTTCTTCGGTACACAGGAAATCATTACCAGCAGCAAGGGGACGACACGGTTTCGTGACTGGTAAATATTTCATCCCTTTCACCAGGAGGTAAGGATATTTTGGGAAGATGGCAATCGTTTCGTTTACAGATTCGCGGAAAATAGGTACGGAATAAACCTTAAAATAATTGTAAGTATTATTATCAGTTAACGGAATCTCCATTATAAATGCTATCTGGTTTTTCTTAAGATAAGATTTTACACTTATGGTTTGTTCTAGTTTTACCAAATTAGTTTCTGTTGGTGGGTACACTAAATTTTCGGTATTCGATATTAGTTTTAAATGATCTAAAAGTTCTGTAGAATTTACTATAGATTGATGAAGTATCGATACTCTACTAAAAGCTAGAGCAGTCTCTATTTCACTTAATTTATAAAATATAGTTCGAAAATTACTTATAAATAAATTAAATAATCCAAAAATATACGTAGAGAAAACCCAGTTATTTTCTCTAGTCGTTAAATGATTTAGCATTGTCTCTACACTTTTCAAGCGTGCATCCAGCATAACGGAATTATTATTTAGGGTTTCCGTGGCATTAATAAAGCTGTCTAACATTTTGGAGACCAAGGTAAGTTTCTTAGAAATGATAATTTGGTTGTGACTTAATTCTGAAGTAAGTTTATCATATTTAAGAGCATCCTCATGATCGAGGTTTCCCGTAATAATTTTTAGAACAGAACCTAATGGATTTAAGATCCCTCTCTTAAAGCGTCGCGGCATAAGTTGTTGGAATTTTTGGACGGTTATATCGCGTATGTACTCTACATGGGTTTTAACACTGATAAATTCACGAGGGTATGGTTCCTTTACTTCAATTAGTCTACTAAGCTTATGATATTGAGCAATAATTACATTTAGGTCGTCATAAATATTCTCTAAATTTAAAATCTTTATTATAGTCCAGTGATCTGTTTGGGCATATGCTTGTCCTTGTTTTACCGGAAGTATCCCTGGGTTTTCCTCAAGTGACTGCAGATGATGGGCCAGGATCGGCTTCGCAATCATCAGTATGCACCACCTGTGGAGGGCGTTTGATATTTTTAATTGGAGCTTTAGTCTTCCTTTCACCTATTTGTATCGGCACTATATTTCTTTCGACCTTGCCTACTACCTTAGCCTTAACATAGCGCGGTTTGTCCTTACTCTTTCTTTTGTTTGTATCTTTAGCAAATATAGTTTTACCACACTGAAATACCATCTCATCTTCACCGCCTTTCTTTTTCCTAATCTTTTCTTTAATTGCTACCATATTTTCTGCTAAATATTTGTATAAGAATTTTGTTCGCTTTGCATGGTCTCTTACTAAGTGTTGTAAATACTGCTTATCAAATTCTGTATTAAACGGGCTACCCGTGTCGGTATGTCCGAAAACTACCTCGAAGGGTGTAAGTTCTGTTACCGAATGAATAGTATTATTATATGCTAGTACGGAATACGTCATAACTGATGCCGCATCAGTAGGTTTTCTTTCGTATTTTGCCAATCTGTAAATTTCTATGATTGTCGAGTGGAAGCGTTCTATAAGCCCCATCGAGCTTGGGCTATTTGGGGTGCCAATGTGTTGCTCAATTTTATGTAAGCTTAAGAATTCTTTAATTAATTCATTGTTAAATTCAGAGCCCGGATCTGAACTTATCTTTTTTGGTATCCCGTAAAAAGAAAAGTACCTCATTAAAGCTCGGACTACTTCGGGGGTGGATCTATTTGCAATTTCTATCGCTTGGCCTAATTTGCTAAACGCATCTATGAGAGTCAGATAATGTTTTCCTTCGATATTAAACAGGTCTATAAATATCTCTTGAAACGGAGCATCTTGGGTCTGGGTTAATTGAAGAATAGGTTTAATTGGCTTTCTGTCATATTTCATTTTTTTACATGCAGTGCAACTATTTATTATTGCCGAAACAGTTTCTTGTAAATTATCCCAATAGTAATTTCTGCGGATTCTAACTAGCGTCTCTTTAATACCCCGGTGACATGTCTTTCCTTCGTGATACTTAATTACAATCGCCCTTTGTTCTTTTTCGTCTTCAACAAAAATTACTCGTTCCGTGCATTCATAAAATTGAACCATGTCCTTTTTGAAAAGGTGTATAATAATATTGCTAAATTGTCTTCGATGTTCTTTTCGTTCGAAATATATAAAATATTTAATTTTAGGCCTAATATATTTCTTTAAAAATTCTTTAATTAATTCGGAATTATCTAATGGTAAAAATACTTCTAAAACTTTTTGTTTTTTTCTAGAAGTATCTTTAACCTGATATTCATTTTTGAACCATGAAAATATTAATATTTGATTTGGCTTTGTATCGATAGCCTCGTGTAGTATTGGTATTCCATTTGACTCTAATTCTACGGCTGAATGCACAGTTTGGGACTTACTAGATTCTGAAGGTGATCGAATTGGATATTCGGAAACCTTTTCTGAACTACAAATTGATATTGTGTCGGAAAGAGACATAGGACTCGCGGAAACAGTACTTGAGTCTGATATTGTCACAATGGACGTTGTGTCATTATGTCTTTTATTTTGAGTGTTTAGTTTTTCAATTTCCTTAACTACATCTTTCAGATGCTCTCTAAGTTTATACTCTTTGCTGTCGAAATTAACGTCCATCGAATGACCTTCGTCGTCTGAATTTAAGGCATTAACTTTAATTCTGGATAGGGCATCGGCATTTGTATTTTGTTTTCCATTTTTATAAATGATTTCAAAATCGTACTCCTGTAGTCGTAATCGCCATCTGGTAAGCTTACTGTTTGGTTCCTTTAATGAATAAAGCCAAACTAAGGGTCGGTGGTCAGTATAAATTACAAATTTTCGTCCGTAAAGGTACGGTCGGAAAAGTTTTACGGCCCAAATAACAGCTAAAAGTTCTCGTTCGATGGTGCTGTATCTACTTTCAGTGTCACTAAGCGTCCTACTAGCGTATGCAACAGGTCTATCACTACCAATAGGTCCCTGTGATAGAACCGCTCCTAAAGCTATATTAGAGGCGTCAGTCGTCAAAATAAAGGTTTTATCGAAGTCCGGGTACTGTAATAAGGGTACACTCGTTAATATTTCTTTACATTTTTCAAACGCATTAATATATTTTTCATCGATGGTAATTTTATTTCGCTTTTTAAGGCATGCAGTTAGAGGTTGTGTGATCTTAGCAAAATCCTTTATGAAGCGTCGATAGTACCCTACCAGTCCTAAGAAACTTTTAATTTCCGTTGTTGTCTTAGGTATAGGAAAATTTAACACAGCATTAATTTTGTCTGTGTTCGGACGTAGCCCTTCTTTTGTAATGGTATGTCCTAAATATAAAACCTCTTTCCTTAAAAATTCAGACTTGTCTAATTGAACTTTTAGATTAGTCGCCCTAATTCTGTCAAATATCGTCCGTAACTTTTGTATATGTTCTTCCAGACTGGTCGAAAACACAATTATATCATCTAAGTATACCATGCAGTGTATCCCCTGTAATCCCCTGAGCACACTATCCATGGTCCGCTGAAAAGTTGCAGGAGCTGTCTTCAGGCCAAATGGCATCCTAAGAAATTCATAATGGCCGTTTTGAGTGCTAAAGGCTGTTTTTTGCCTGTCTTGTTCTTCTATTTCGATTTGGTGATAACCACTTGCTAAGTCGATTGTACTGAAATAAGAACTCTTCCCTAACTTGTCAAATAAATCTGTTATGTTTGGTAGTGGGTATTTGTCGTCTATGGTTATGTCATTCAAACGTCGGTAGTCTATAACCATACGAAATTTAATTTCACCAGATGCATCCATTTTTTTGGGTACAAGGTGTACAGGAGCATTCCATGGCGAATGTGACTCCTGAATAACATTGTCCTTCAATAACTTGTCTACTTGCCTATTTATCTCGTCTACTTGCATTGGTGCTTGACGGTAGGGTCTTACATAAATTGGGTCTTCATTTTTTGTGCGTATCTTATGTTTAATTTCGTTAGCGAAAGTTAGTGGTAATTTGTCGCAGTAAAATATGTCTTTAAATTCTTGGCAAAGTCTAAAAATTTTGTCGCGTTCCTCATCGTTAGTATGATTAAGTCTTAGTTTAAGTAGATTATCCTCGAGTACCTTATCGATCTCTAAGTCACTATAGGTACTTGTTAAGTTTATGTCACATTGAGTAGTCGTATCATACTTAGTAACTGTAAAAGGTCGTGTTACTGTCAATATCATTTCTTTGTCAAGAACGTTCTGAATGACGGTTGCGGCATAACCGTTAACGCAATTTACCAATGCACTAGGCATTCGTACACCGCTGGCAAATTCCTTATAATTAATGATTGCCTCTCCAGAACATTGGTCTGTTGGCAATTTTACGCGCCGCTCTGATCGTGGTGGTAGTGTTATAATATAATTCAAGTTATTATTAACTATTGGTATGCAAGTTGTTTTAGTTTTAAGTACAAGGTCTTTAAGGTCTATAATTGTATCTTGTTGTTTCAATAGGTCATTACCAATGAGACCATCATATCGAGAGTCGACGTCATATAGATAGAATTTATGAAAATCTGAACTCTTAAAAGTGGGTGGTAGGGGGATTTCTATCACCTCATCGTGTCTGCTAGAGGCGTGGGTACTGACTACTTCGAATGGTTCGTGTGTTATATATTGGTAGAAGTGTCAATATGCTTTACGGGGGCTGATAAAAGATCTAGTACTACCTGTATCTACCATTAATTTTGCATCTATTTCAGGGATATAAATATAGGGTAACTTGAGATTCGGATCACAATTTAGTTCTATGACTTCTTGTCTCCGATGGAGGCTTTCATGTGAAAATTTTCAAGAGTTTGAGGTTGAGTTTCTTCTGCAAACTCGTCATAAATTGTTTCGTCAACAGTTTCTTCCGGAGATGGTGTGAATTCGTTATCATATTGCTCTACATATTCGTCTGTGTCATAATACTCGTTATATTGTCCGTCATTTTCTCTTAAGGTCAACTCATTTAATCTAAAGCCGGGTTGTGGCCTTGGAGGAGCTGTCCTCATGGAAACGTCAGTCTCTTGAAAATTGGGTTTCTGAGTTTGTGGTTTATTACCAAATTGTGTAGTTGGCATATGGCCAAATTGCTGTTGAGGTCTTTGACCAAAATGATGTGGCTGAAAGCCCAGTTGTGGACGGTAACCGAACTGTTGTGGCTGAGGGCCGAGTTGTGGACGATAGCTGAACTGTTGTGGTTGCTGGCCAAGTTGTGGCCGATAACCAAATTGAGGTGGCCGGTAACCTATCTGTTGCATTGGTTGAGGACGAAAGCCAGATTGGGGCATCTTAAATTGGCTTTGATTTTGAATGCCGAAATTAAATTTTGGTGTAATGTTATTTGGAAACACTGGTTTGTATCCGTATGGTTGCATTACCGTGTGAGGCGCACTACAGAATTTAAATCCTTGTATTGGAACTGATGTTTGAGGCTGCCTTAAAGCTAAACCACTACTACCGTGAACACGATTACGCATATTGTATTGATCGTGGAAGTTGACTTCCTCTAGTACAATGCTCAGCGCGTCTTCTAAAGTCGCTGGCCTCTTTAACCTCACTATCCGAACCATATTCTCGGGAAGATTGTATAGGAATACGTTTAGAGCTGTATTGTTGTAAATTGCCAATTTAGCGCTTTTAAGATTACTATCATCCGATATGTTTACTTTTGAAATTAATAATGATCGAATACTTTGAATGCGGTTACAAAAATCTTGAAAGTTTTCACCAGATTTAATCTTTAAAGATTCTAATTCAATACTAATACACTCTTCGCTACGAGGGTCTCCGAAATGTTGCGTTAGCAAATCTTTCAACTGCGACCACGACACGACATCCTCCCGTTCCGATAAGAGTGACGCCGCGTTATCTGTAAGCCTACTAGTTATAGAATGATAAACGTATAAATTTTGTTCTTCGTCACCCCTATACCTACGAATGACATATTCACATTTCCTCAAAAACAAATTTAACTGTCTTTTGTCACCATTAAAAAGTGGAATAAGCCGTAGCATTTCTGTAGGAATGGGATTAATTACAACGGTCTGTCGTTCTGCTGCCATTGGTTGTTCCATCGTTATAGAGTAATACACGCGTCAGAGGAGTCAGTTAATATAGGGCGCAACTTTATGCAATAACACAAAATATAAGGTAGAACACACTAAAGCATATAAAAATATAATTTATAAAATAAAAGTTTATTTAAAGTATAAAATGTGTAAAAGATGTAAATGTAATGAAAAATAAAATTAAATGAAATAAAACTGTATTATATCTCTAGCATTAATAAAACATATATTCTTTAGTTATCAAGTAAAGCTTTAATTACATTTAATTTATTAATTTTATAAAATGTCTTATTTTTAGAACGTTTAATAATCTCTGTGCAAAAAGGCACTCTGTGTCCCTTATTCTTATCACCGTTACGCCTACACTAATAGAGTGTCTATTACTAAATATATTTAATTGAAAAACCAGATACGTTATAATGAGAGAAGTCCGATCTCAATAATAACAAATTTAAATAAAAATGAAGGATAATAGTGGTATCAAGGATGGTGAAAAGTTTTACTCACCAACCAGCCGCTATTCCCATGTCTTCCGCTTCCCTCGATGACAAATTTCTTTGGTTCTTGGATTTGTCCAACAGCTATTCGCGCCGCTATCACGAATTCAGGCGAATTTGGACACCTGAATATTTCGAGAGACGATACAGCCTTTACGAACAAATCCTACCGGCTGCGCCAGTCAAATTTCGGAAACGTCGAAAGGAGTTTTTAAAAACTAAAATACAATTAGATTACTATGTCCGACCGATTTGGAGGTGGCTTTAATAATGAATGATATTCAAAGAGTCCGTTTGTGCGCAAACATGCGACTCATCAACTAAGTACTAGGAACTTACATACAAATGCTGATACATTAGTTTTACTGCTTAGTCTAAATAATACAATATTATATATTTTAATATTTTAGTCTAAAACAGAGGGACGGGGTGTATCCATAACTAGGTGCCTACACTAGTAACTGAAACGTGTAGTGGTGGTTTAGGTATAAAAACTAAACTATATGTCGTCCCGTGAGTGTCGAAAGGTTAGTAAAACAGGAGACAGGCAGCAGCATCTTTCTGATAACAGCACAAAATAATAAAAAATGCAGTTGCCAACTCGCTCTCCAAGCCTGGTTACATGACAGAATCCCCCTTATGGACAATCAATGGGAGAGTTCTATGTTAGGCAGTAGACTTTTGATTTTTTTTGTTTGTTTGTTGATTTTGACATTTGTAAAACAATCACGTTTGCTACGATTTGATAACATGTCGGTTTTTTTGGTAGAGATATATTTTGTAAAGATAATCATAATTATATTTGTGCAATTTTGTACCTTATCCTACAATAATACGATTCGCAATTGCTTAACATTTTACTACTTTCCTATATAAGCACCTAATTTGATTTTCTTCGTACGGAACGAAGTACGAGAGGGATTCTATTAATGCACAATAAGCGTTTTACTGATTCAATTCTCAGTAACATACTTACTTTGCGAAGTATAAGAAACGTTTCTTATTTTTTGGCAAGTAGTGTATGTCTTTATTTTGCTATTTTCTTAGTTTATACTGTATTCGCAAACAATGAGGAAGTAGATAAATTTTCCTTTCATTTTCTGCCACTATTTTAAATTGATTGTTTTTATAAAAATCATCGATATATATGTACTACGTACTAGATATTGCATTCCGAACATACACTATGTTCAACCGAACTGTACTGCAATCCGTACAGTGTGTCGTTTAGTGTGGTTTCAATCTACTAGTTAGTCTGTGGTTTCAATATACACACAGTGTGGAGCGGCGCTAATACTACTAGATTTCAAATTTAAATTTAAATTAAAAAATGACCGCGCAGGCACAACGCGCTTAAATCAACTGCGCATGCGCGACTACTATCTCCCGGGCATGCGCGAAGACATAGAGTAGTGCACATTTATTGTTTAGAATGGCTTCTCTAGTACGTAGTACATATAACTCAATGATAAAAATAAACTGATAAACGAACTTACATTCATTCCACCTGATAAGTGGTTATTGCATTCTATGGACACTTGCAGTCAACTTTAAACAAAAAATTACAACGCTAAAAACTAAGATGGGATACCTCACAGCCTGTAATTATACTAAATCTCTATACCCTCGGACTGGAACACAGCAGTGCAAGCACCGCAATTTGGCCTACCCACACGGACTCCAGACGGCACAATAGGAGTACTTAAATAACACCTAAATAATGCATGTTGAATGCATATAGGCTGTTCAAAACCTAGTAAAATTAAGTAATCTAATAAGAGAACGATTGAACATAAATTGAGTAGGTCCTTGGACAGTTTTAATTAATCATATATAAAAAGATTTGGTAATTTTAAAAGATCTATTGAAGATGTTTTCAAATTTCTTTAGAGAATTACTACGTAAATAAGATTTTGAATAATAGGTTTTTTTAATGTTACATGATGAATTTCGATATGGGAAAGCAGATTTCTTGAAACGTGATATTAAACCAAAGGGAAATATTGATATAATAAGATAAATATATATACATTTTTGGAGGCACTAATCAGCAAAAGCACTCGCCCTTCAGTTCGCCTGTCGGTACAAGACTGCCAGTTTAGAATCTTTCTTCCCCATCAGTTGTCGGATTTCGAGCTATATCGGTTACTCTGTTTCCACTACGTTCTGGTCTCTGGTTCTACCAAGCAGAGAAACCCCGAGCATAGTCCTCACCATATCTGAGCTTACAGCTAATAAGAAATCATTATAAAGACATTGAATAAAACTATTTTTACGGATTTTATCGCGTTTAATTAACTTGTTTTATATTCCCGTCGTTTCG